GACCCAGTACTTTCGCGAGAGTTGGAAAGGCTGCGTGGTCTGAGTGGACTTTGAAATCCAGCGTCATCAGGCTACGCGAGTTTTTGAGTGAGCAGCTGCTACTCGTCGTTGTTTAGCATCGCTAATGTTGGAAAAGTAGCCACTTTCCCCGACAGTGGATCCTTTTTAATTCATTAATTCACGTTTGCGAGCGGCTTCCCTCATGCAAACTTAATGATCGGCTTATTGTAGTTGTAACGATTCCACCAGAGCACCATTCTGCGTGACAACTTTGTCTTCTCTTTTACGTTTCAAAGAACTTTCAAAGATTTTCAGTCATTATTTATTCACACATTTTCATAAGAGTAGAAATGTTTTCCTAGAAACAGAATTATTTAACAAAATTGTGAATTACGAAAGCGTTTCTTGAAAAATAGAAATAATCCCTAAGGTTAACTCACCAATTTTTCGATTTTATGACGCTTGTTTGAAACGACACAAGCCATTCACACCCTCCTTAACTGTCAATCGTGGTGTCGTTTATTCTCCCAAAAGCCCAGCTCGAAAAAAAAAGGACGAGCACCCACCGCGCGATAAGGCGGGTGGCGATAGAGAGCGCGGGAAGGGGAGTGTTGGTTGTACAGGGCTGACAGAAGGATAGCATTGTTCGGAAGTACAATGTACGTTGTTATGCCAAAGCGGCATGCACGACCCTCGAGCACAATAGTTGCCGGTACGAGAGGAAGATAGCGCGAGCCTAGCGAAGAGAGAATACGCGTCGTCAGTTTCGGCGTAGAGACTGCAACTTTCCCGGCTGTTCTCGTTCTCTCCCTCTCTCACTTACTGGCACACTTTTTTCCGATACTGTTTTTTCCCATCCATGAATTATGGCTCACGGTAGAACGATTCTGGAGCGCCCGCGCTTTTTATGGAACCGCGGCGCCGTTCATCACCGCAGGATGTTCTCGAATACACATCCCGATAATTAAAGCGGAGCAGGACCTCGCGGGACGAGTCGTGCCTTATTTATTTCGAGCATTGTTTCGAACAAGAAATTTTCGTTTCGCTTTTTAACTTTTGCGCGATGACTGGAATGATGTATGCACCGATTGAGAAAGGTGTACGTAAGAAAAATTAATTAATTATTTCGAAGCGTAATTGTGAAAAACGTATTATGTGAGAGAACACATAATGTTGATCTTAGTATGTATTGTATTATTCGAGAGGATCTGACGAGACAGTAAACAATAAACAATTTTTCAATTGTCCGGGTTTTGTCGATTAGCTTTAAATAATAATATAATAAAGATCAACGCGCGACGAGAGTTCACGCATTACTAGTCGTTGCAACAAATGTGCAAAGCGATAAATGCATATATTTAAAAACGTGTAATTTATGTCCAACTTGTAAGTCATTATAATGTATGATGCAATGTATTGCGATAATTTTTGTTTGTAATTATTACAGCTTCGAAAACACAAACGCGTCAGAAACAGAAGCATGTATGTGCCTGCAAGTGATAGTCGAGCGCCGAATTCAAAGTTTCTCGCATATTTTCTCATTCTCGCTGCACACACGAATGAAAAGTCCATTTTCCGACTTTTTTGGCGGTCGATAGTTTGTTTACCTTGTTTCAACTTTTTTTTTTACATTCGTACTTTCCATCTCGATGTGCGTGCATAATGCACATTTGCGTTAATGGGTATGCATTTTGCGAAATTTACCAGCAATTTGTAGAAGAATACTGTAAAAATTTGTAAATAGCAGGTATTAACTTAATGTTAAAAATTAGTATAGCAGTCTGATAACGAAATATATATATTTCTACGATTTAATTAAATTTTTTAAATACTTTTTTCTTGTGATTTATTTAAATGTCTTTTGCTATTAATATTTTAATTGATTAATTATTTTTTGCCAGCTATTTTCTTTTCAGCGGTATAATGGATTAGCATTTTGGTTGAAAACATTCTCTCGACCATCATATTTCATTTCGCTTGTTGCTATTTACGCAGTAGTCGTATTTCATCGTATTATGGGACTCTTTATTTTGACACATCTCTGATTATTTATATTATACTAATAAAAATTGGTGTAAATGCGATATGTTTACAGAAATATAAATATATACCGAGTCACGGAACAACATCTATTTGCAGTTGTACAGAGAAATAGCGTTAATATTATTTTTATTACTAATGTAATATTTTATTTTAGAGAAATTTTTTTATTTGCAGTTATTACAGTTCCTCGTAAATAGTTTATGTAATACAATATTTGATTTTATATGATTGTTACAAATAATTACCTAATTAGTTTCTTACGAAACTGCGAAGAAGCAGTGATTATAAAGATTAACAAGAAATAGAAACCAAAATAATTATTTAAACTAATAACAAATTATTAATGAAGAAAAAGATAGAAAATTAAAAAGTAGAAATTGATTTAAATTTCAAAATATGTATACATATTTTGTTACAAATAATAAAATATTTAAAACTGTCATTATTCCAATTCAGTTATGTTAAAATTATTATAGAATTATTCTCTTTATTTTTTAATTATGTTTATTTTTTATCTTTTTCTATAAAACTGCACATACGTATTTTGGTTGAAAATATTATTAAACTTTTACTGTTCTCCATTAATTTTTTATATGATTAATACTATTTACGAGTAATACTTTGGAAATTATTTAAGCCCATTGGTTTTTATTTATTCTCAAATCAATTTCTGTATAGATTTTATAGACTTTAACTTTTAAATATTAATTAGCGGATTTCTTAGACAAAAGTTCCCGACTTTTTATTTTTGCGCGTCGGAAATCGTGCAATCAGCCCCATTTGTGGAAGATCGATGTAAGTTAGTATTCCTTTCGAGAAGACTTGGAACAGCTGACCCAGTGAGAGATTACTCTTCTGTCACAATATTAACCCTTGAAACTTCTCACTGAAACTTTTTTTTGTAACTTTCAAACTACTGGAGATATTCCTTTTTGAGCGTCCTGCTTCGTGTTTAATGAAGGAACGTAGGGTGCAAGAACAAAATGGTTGAACATTGGAACCGGCAGAATGAATTGAAGAGGGACGAAGAAGCAGCAGGTGATAACATTAGAATGAAATTGAAACTTTTGCGCTGCTGCTCCGTCATTTTTCTGTCTGACATTCGACGACGACGTCGACGGTGACGCAGACATCTGGATTCATTACTTATAATCTGGCACCGCTCGGTTATTACGAAACTTACGGTGTCTCGAGATAGTAATTAAGGCGCCCTCTCTCGCTTCCATTCTTTCTCCGAACGACGTTGTACTAATTAAGCCGCGAGCTGGGATCTTGAATGAAGCTTAAGCCGGCTTTAAAAGAAAACGTTTAGGGCATCGAAATTATCTCAATCGCATCAGGAAAGATGGTACTTTATGAAAAATTATTAAAGGTGTTAGAAAAAGAATCTACATATTATCTATCGATAATCATCAATTAAATCGTACGGTAAACTTTAAATTGTGATTAAAGATTCTTGCCGAAATATAGTAATTATAATAAGATGAAAATAAAAAAAGTAATTATACATGTGCGCATTAAGAAAAGATTTATATATGCAAGTAACATTTTATTAAAAAGTGAAAATTTCTTTTGTGATATTAATATGATTAAATCTCTACTTTGTGAAAATATTCTTTGAAATCCAAGTTTCAGAATTTTATACAGTACTTTGTAACATTTTATATGCAAGATTTTGCCAACCTTATATACGTATGTCTGCATTATGCATTATAAATCTACGAGACATAAGAATGTCGACAATGATAAATAAATTAGGCGAACCACGTCGCAAATGTTGTGTAATAATGGCATACATTAATGTCATTGTCTCGTTGCGGCGTGATTAATGCGCGAACGTGTGCTATGGCAAATAATTATTGCTATTACTTTACAACATGGCACTCTCCATGTTGTTGATAAATTCACTTACGTATTGCATAATAACTTTTGTCTGGATTTCGCGATTATTTTGAATTCGATATCGGCCATGCAGTGCCATTTGATATCAATCATGTTGCCTACAAATTAACCTTTCACGTCAAATTATAATTTATAATTATTATTTTAATAATGTAATATGTTTTTTGTCACGTTTAATATGTTTTCAAAAATATCAACACAACTTTTTTAATTTTATATTTATAATTATTTTGTCACGCATGCATTTCTAGATGCAAAGAGAACATAATCGCGTCTAATTCTAATAATGTATTGTATATTTTTTATATTTTTTTTGTCATATGAAATAATATATCTTATCATATCTATAGATGTGATATTTATATAAATTATTGTTATAATATTATTATATATTTAATTATTTTATGCAATATTACATTTGATCCGATTTTGTGTATATACGTGTGTACGTAAATGTATATTATTTGTTGTTTCATTTTAATATAATTATTGGTAACAGCTTAACGAATTATTCGTGCGCTCCATGATTTTCGATTGTTGTCGACGAGAACGGCTGGATCAACATCGAAACAGGGGCGAATGAGAGTGGCTATCGATGGAGAAATTAATCGCTCCACGGAGATCTCGCGTCAACGCGTTTTATAACAATCTGCAGGACGGATTCACTCTCAAAAATAATATCCACGCGAGAATGCGTTATCGCATTGGCAGTTTTTCGCGCTCGCACTCGCGGTTTAAAGCTTTTGTATGTCAATTAATATAAGGGCGTAAGTGTAGCGCATAAGCCTCTTAATAGATAAAATATTTGGCTTACCTAAATATATCGACAATAAAGAATCAGTAAAAATCAAAATTGCAGTTCTCGTTTTGTGTAAATCGAACAATGTGACAGCTCATAGTTAGCTCTACGTTGTTCGCGAAGTTTATATATTATATTGTCGTGCTAATTCTCATACGCAATGGCCGCTGTCACGTGGCAAAATTTGCACTTGCGATTTGTCATTCCGGTTGAAACATCGCTGTATATCGCTCTAATAATAATTTCCTGATTACAGTGGCTTGCTCGACGGTGACGGTGACTAAGTGTCGGGCTGCTCTACGCACCCTGCAGGCTTTCACTTTCTTCCGACCGACGTGCCTCTGCAGGGAGCCGCATGTCGATCCGGACTGCAACAGCTTCCTGACCTTCCTGTTCGACCATCCGTGCGACCTCGTGGAATTGAAAGGTGAGGATGTCCATTGAAATGAAATGAAATTAATTCTAAGTTATACACTGTGCATTACTCCACAAAGAATAGAGGTTATCAGACGCATAAAATTGAGCAGTTTTCAAACTGTTGAAATTTGGCAAAAAAGAAAACAACTTGAAGTTTGTACTTCTACGTGCTTTAGGCTGTTTTTTGGAAATTTTATTTTTATAATTCTGAAAAAAAGACACATTGTTTTGTTCCTTAAAAGTACGTTTTTTCAATATTTGCAGCTTGATAAAAAATGTTTTCTCCAAAAATTTGACAAATATCAAAAACTACAACATTTTATTTACCTACGTTTTTTAAAATATTGCCACAATTTTTTTTGGTCGAGTTACGCGATTTTAAAACCGATCTTATATTTTGTGAAAAATGATATTTACCGCCGGAATCAGTATTAGTCTAAAAAACACACATTCAATTTTTTTTTGGCATCAAAAGTGTAAAGATAAAAAAATTCTCAAAAAATGATTTAAAGCGCGTGAAGGTTTCAAGCTTAAAAATGTTCAATTTTTGTCTGCGGTGAATTTTTCGCCGAATTA